TTGATGCAAATATGCGAAGCGCAATCATTTTTGCATCAGTACATTGTTGCAACGGTGTGAAATCACAGTTTGTTTTCACACAATGCAATGCTGCACCTATACCAAGCGTGCAAAAAATCTATACTACCATGCTATCATTCACCATACCTCTGTTGTTTCATGAGAGAGAGATAGAATGCAGAAAAAAGTTTAAAATGCAGAGATTTCGAAGGTCTAGCTTGATTAGTCGATTTTGAGAATTACAGATATCCTAATATAGACCATAGTAATGCGAGGTTAGTACTTTCCAATCCGTGAATGCCGGCGTAGATTGGCGAGTGACATCGAAGGCGAATATCATGTGGGTAATGCACATTACTCACCGCTTTAGGCTCGTAAGCAGTCTGTGAAATTTCCGAAAAGTCTAGAAATACTGCGTGACTCTACGGCTTCAGTGTCTTCCATCGGGTCCGTCCTTTGCAGCTGAGACGCTTTCACATTCTTAATTGCTCAGAAATATCACTAGGCTGTCCAAACATTCGATGAAAAATTTTCGAATTACCCAAGTATAGTACCCACGTCTGCTAGAAAAACAAAAACGCTTTGTTTTGTTCAAAACGGTTCGCTTTGGAATAATATATTCATGGACATGTTTCTCCTCTTATCCTAGACATAAAAAAAGTTCTGCAAGCAACTTTTTGGGGGTTGGTAATACAGCGAAGAGGGGCGACTTTGACTTTAATGCACGAAGTTAAAAAAGCTAGATTCTAGAGAAATGGTAGACTTACTACAGCAGTGCGGAGGTGCGCCGCAAATCTTTTAGTGTCTAGGACGCGCTGCACAGACTAAAATTTTAAAAATACGCCAATAAGTACGATTTATATCATTGTTATCGGCTTTGATTGTACACTTTACGGAGGCGAGCAGCAGTAGGGCGGATGTTGGGTTGAACTGCTGAAAAAGTCCCTTATAGACATCATTCCAAAAAACGATTTATATACCCTTGTATTAGACGATGATTGGTGCAATTGACCACCTCTGAAGATAACGGAGCGAAGAGCTGAAAAAAGAATAATTGAAAATGAAACCAAGAAAATTGAGGAAAAACGAGAAATATAAAAAAATCTGATTTCATTCTTTTAGAAATTCAACAAGTTACAAAAAATTGAATTAGAACAAACTATTAGGTTGGTCCAAAGGTTCTGTCCCGCCATTTTCAAAAAATCATAACTTCCTCCTATCATGATGTTTTTGCATGGCTAAAAACTTGTTAAAAAGAGCAATTCATGCGCTTTCCAAAAAAACCTCTTGGCTGCTATCCAATAGGCTCTGAATGCAGAGATAAAACTGGGAAAAGGAAATCACTTCAAGTTCGGGATTTTTAAGCAGGTCCGTTAAAAAGTCCAAAACATAAACGTGCCATAAAGTCCAAAACAACCATTATCCTAGGTTTTCTGATCTCCTCTTTCTATATGAGCAAAACTCGCGCTAATCGAGCCCTTCTTAGAAAAGTTGTGATTTTCGAGAAAAAATGTCAAAAATCAGTTCCTTAAGAAAATTGGTTTCTTGAGATTCTTTTTCAAAGAATCATAACTTTTGAAGTGACAGCTCTATCAGCGCGAATGTTGCTCAGCTGGAAAGAGGGGTCAAAAAGTCTAGGATAGTGGCTGTTTTGGATTTTATGGCACACTTTCGGATTTTTTAACGGGCTTGCTTAAAAACTCCGAACTTGAAGTGATTTCACTTTCCCAATTTTATCTCTGTACTCAAAGCTCAGTAAATAACAGCCAAGGTAGTTTTAGAAAGTGCATGAATTGCTTTTTCTAACAGAATTTTAGTCATGCAGAAATATCGTTTTAGGAAGAAGTTATGATTTTTTGAAAATAGTGGGATAGAACTTTCGGACTAACCTAATATACATTGACCGTTGATCTCCTGCTTTCATATCTTTTGCCAAGCTAAAGGTGTCACTCTGTAAACCAAGGTTCAGATCAAATTTGCTGTGTTGAGCGAATCATCAATCACCCTTCATCACTGTAGGATTAAGGTATGAACTCCCAGGATACAGCGTCACTGTGAAATAGGCCTTTGGATGAAATATTTTCAAAAAAAAAATCTGAAAATTTGTATGGCAAGGTTTTCAGGCGTGCTAATTTCACTAGACATCTTTTCGTGAGTTTTTCGAGCTTTCTTGATGGCGTATTCACACTCTGATGAACACTGGAATAACAGTTGTTACACTAAATCTGAAAGAACTTATGAAAGAAGCGCTATACTAAGGTGCAAATTTGATGGACTCAGCGTCTTCCATTAGCCCATTCTAGAGTTTCTGGCTTGTTTGGCTTTCCTTCTGAGGCAAATTACCGGCAAAATACCACTTTAAATGGCTCAAAACCCTCCTCGAGTTTCGTACCGTAATCTTACAGTAATGAAGAAGGATTGGTCATTCGTTCTACACTGGAAATCTAAGTTGAACCTCGGTCTGCAGGATGACACCTTAATCTCGGAAAAGACATAAAAGCAGGAGAGTTATTAACGATCAAACAGTGTGCACATCTTTTTGGGACACCTTATACGATATAAAAACCAAGTAAATGTCTAAACAGGTAAATAATACAATAAAAAAATTAAGTAAATTTAGTTTCACTTCTCTGCAATAGTGACAAACTCTTTAAGAGGTGGAAAAGAAACTCAGTCGACCAGACATTCCAGTAACCCGAAGTTGACATATGAAATACTGTAGAACAGACCGTACGCGATGGAATTCAACACATTCATCGACCCATATCAACAAAAATATGATTTATGCATCAAAATGTGCCGCTACAAAGCGACATTACACCGTCCGGATAATCGCCCATCAGTTGACGGATCCTTCTAAGGAACATGTCAAATAGTTCAGTCCACAGCAAAGTCTTTCTTTAACACATTGACGACCATGCTGATTTTTACTTGTCTGCCTTCTGGGACCAAGGCTTTTTACGGACCAGCCCGCATTTTTCAACTATAATTACACATATTGCCATATACAGTGCACCTACAGTAGATCTGAAAGGCTGAAAATAACGGTAAAGGTTATCCCTAAACTCATTGCAGAAGAAAGCTCGTGGAGTGTGTTTACCAAATTATAGTAGTTGTTTTATATAACAAAATTCGAGCCTTGACACACATGGTGCGTCAAGCGGTCCCACGCGGTAGTCATTGCTTGACAGACCATGTGTGTCAAGTGGTCGTCAATGTGTTGATTAACTCCGCTTCACGGGATATGGCTATGTGCTGAGAAGCTTTCTTGGAAAAAAGTCTAAATCGGTGGGAAAATAATAGCTCCCCTTGTCATCACCAAAGTCCTTTACAATATTTGTGAGCTGGACCTCAAAACACTTCTCTTCAAGCTTAGCCAAGTGTATCTCTTGCTCGGCAACCCTTGGAAGTAATCCCTGACAATAAGATTAAAGAATAAAAGACATGTTAAATGACAGCTCCATTTGTATGGACGATTTGTTAAATTAACTCACTGTGAGTTAATGACAGTAACAAATTTTTCGCTGGTGGTTTTGGTATAATCTTTATAAACGCAGCGGGAGACGTTGACCGCACGGACTGGACATCCTATGGAGCACGCGCCGCGGGGTAAAACGCTTGCTCCAGTGCAAGTTCGTCAATGTACAAGTCGTGCTCTTGCAACACTTCAGCCGCTCCGCGCGTGGTTCGCAGCGTTTGAGCAGCGTGTGCGGTACATGCATCGACGATAGTTGGCTACAAAATTATATTACCAGTTCACGAGATTTTGAAAAATATACAAATGAGATTTTAGAGAGCAATCGTTGTAAAGATAGCACCTAATCATATTTTGCAATGGTTGAAATTTGATGTCTGCGTTGAACGTCCATGACAATCCAAGTATCGTTCATTCGTTGACCGTACGGACTGCCGACCGCGTGGCGACTGCGACGCGTGCTTTCTAAACTTGCGAAAAAGTGACCAGTTGGACCGTGGCTTAAGATGAGAAGAATTCTTTGTTTCTTTTCTACATTATAAAGATGAGAAGAATCCTCTGTTTTCCTTCTATTCACCTTTCCTACGAAAACATCATGCACGCGCAGCGGTCGCCGCGCGGTCAGCAGTCGTTACGGTTAACGAATAAACGATACTTGCCAACACCCTCGAGATGGTGGAAGTAGTACTGAAAGACGCCTGGAAAATGGTTTGCCAAGAATTGAAAGAGAGACATAACATTGAATAATCTTATATATAAGGTTGAATGTCTGTCTGTCTGTCTGCCTGCCTCTGTTATGTATGTCTGCATGTACGTATGTTCCAAATAGAAAATTTTATTTCTGAACCGATCCAGACCAAACTTGGCACATATACACTTCGGGTCGGAGCGGGTGTCGTAGGCTACTTTTCGTCACCGATCGATATCGATTCCATCGATTTTTTGCAAAGTTTGAGCTACGGGGCTGGGAGTTGGCATAGGGGGGTAAGTGAGCATGCTGATTATGATTATATTATCGACAGGGCCGGGCGGAGCTGGGTAAGCCAGCTAGTTACTTATGAAGACAGCACATACCGGGACTACCGCAACCACTTCCTTGCCGCACACTTTCAGCATAACCGAGTATATCGGTCTCAAGGGACGTTTCAGTCTGTCCGAGACTAGCAAACCATTTAGCTCTTCTTTCAGGATAACTGCGATGCCATAAGTAACCAATATAACGATGCTCTAATGATAACCATGATAACCACTGAGAAAGGCAGCATGCCGAATTTGTCTTAGAAATTTTATGAAACTACAAACGAAATAATGAAATCAACGGAGTATTGAATTCTATAGATGGCCAAGTACATACTCATTCTAATCGCAGTTGCTCAGTTTAGGCCGTGTAAATACGCGAGTCTGCCACACTGTGTGCGCCGTATTGCTACGGCAGCTGTGGGCTGGGTTCATACTGAATCCGTAAGTTCCGTAACAGTCCCAGCGCAGCGCACAATTCGAGCGCTGTGCTGTGACTGTTTCGGAACTACGGATCAGCACGAACCAGCCCCGCAGCTGCCGTAGCAATACGGCTCACAAGCGTGGCGGACTCGATTTCCAGCCCTAGATTGGGCAACTGCGATTAGAACTAGTATAGATTACTTGACCACTGTAAACATAGCTTTTTCTTACAGTGAAGGGTACGGCTGCAAAGTAGCGCTTAGAGCCCGTACACATGGCCGTTAAAAAAGGGTAGTCGCGTTTTCTACTGTAAGATGATGTGGCAATGTAGCTGCTCACCTCAAAGCGTGAACAGCGCTCTTTGAGCAGTCAGACGTTTTGGGTAGGGAATATGTCATTCATTCCCTGAGTAAGAGAGCACGTTTTGCTTACGCCTGATTAACAACTTTAAGCGTGCGTTTCAACGTGTTTTGCGTGAATTACTAGTAATAGAATTCGTGAAAGAACATGTTCGATTGCGTTGTTTAACGAGCTCAAACATGTTCGAATTCCTAATAGTTCATCCAAAACGTGTTTGAACAACTCATGAACTTGTTGATCAGACCTAAAACAAAGAAACCTACATGATGCAATACTATCAGCTGAACTTCAGGAGGTTCTCAAGAAGCCAGAGGGTTCAGCTTCTACGGGTTGCCGATAAAATGAAGGGTTATAGAGCGGATCAGTGTCAGTGACACCTCAAAAAGGAGTATTTCTCGGAGAACGAGAGTTAGAAACAACCTACCTTTAAGGAGCAGATAGAACTCGTTGTTTTCACTTACTCTGAGTAACTAATTTACTTTCTTCTTCTTCATTCTTGAGTAAAAGGCCGGGCATACTTCACGCGATTTCAGTCGCGACGCGATTTGGCAATTCGCCAGAATTCTTCAGATTCAACACTAGCAAACTCTACATGCACAGTGTGTATAACTTACGTTAATTGATAAAATGCCGTATCTTCTGTACATTTAAAATGTGTTTACAGTAAGTTAAGGACAGTTGGAAATTTGCCAAATCGCGTCGCGACTGAAATCGCGTGAAGTATGCCCGGCCCTTAATCCGCCAGACACTGCAGAAATAAAAAAACATGTTGCTGTTCCAGCTACCTCCTGATCTAGCTAGCAGTTACATAGATTCGAACCTTTTACGCATGATTCATAAAATCAAAGAACCAATTGTGTAGGACGCATAATCAATTATGCCAAACGAATTAAATTACTACAACATTATAACAACCTTCAGTCTGCCTTTCTGGAGTGCACCCCACTTGAGAACATTGATGGATAATTTACAACTGCAGTTCCATCGAACCATTGTCAGAAGCGAAACAGTAGCTGGAACGGAGTCTGCGTCAATGATGTGCTCCGACGAAAGGCTAAAAGATTTTCGGCCTGAATGTCTCAGTCGGCGCGGTTTGGTTTCTCACGAGCCACCTCGCCAGGGCCACTCGACGCATACGCGAACGTGTCTCGGGGCATTTTCCTAAGCTCGTCAGCCACTGATGCCCAAGGATTTCCCACTCTCCAAGTGTGGAAAGATATTGTGCTGCAGAGGGCGAAGTTGGCGAAAGACCCAAGCGAAGCGACTCGCAAGGAACCTAACCGCGCAGACACCTGACACTCAGATTGGAACCCTGTACCTACATAATAGGTTCGACCCATGCACGGTATTCCAGCTTACACCTCACGCGAACTGCCTCATTTTACGGCTGCACTTCAGGAGGTACGCCGCGCGCGGTGGCCGCCTTGCCGCGTTCAAACCTTGGGGCCCACAAAACTTCTCGCTTTTGAAGGCAGTACTTCGGCAGAATGAGACCCGTGACAAAACAAGGTCACAGGGTAGGAGCCCCCATATGGAACCTATCGGCCAAAGTCCGATCTTTCTCTGCCACTTCTAACCCCGAAATTTCAACGCGGAAGCAGCGCTCATCTCCTGTATTCTCTCGCCCCGCCCGTCGGACTTTGGCCGATAGGTTCCATATGAGGGCTCCTACCCTGTGACCTTGTTTTGTCACGGGTCTCATTCTGCCGATGTACTGCCTTTAAAGGCAGTGTCCCACCAGAGTGGGGGTATCTGGCTCTCGTAATGAGTGATAGTAGACCCCCTATCTAAGCGATGACTGAAGTTCGGAGCGAAAAGGGGGTCTACCAAGCCTGAAATTTGCTCCGAAAGTGGGCCGAATCTTACGGTAGGGCCGAACGCCGCCCACACGGCAATATCGATTTGCAGGGCCAGAGTGCGTATAGCGCACACATCATGAGCGCAGGGACCCGCAACAACTCTGTGTCTCTACCTTGCATGCACCTCGCACTCGCCCCAGCCTACCGTAAGATTCGGCCCACTTTCGGAGCAAATTTCAGGCTTGGTAGACCCCTTTTTCGCTCCGAACTTCAGTCATCGCTTAGTTAGGGGGTCTACTATTACATCATTACGAGAGCCAGGTACCCCCAGTCTGATGGGACGCTGCCTTTAAGGATGCCCGGCTGCAAAAACAGAGGGTGGCGGTGGGGGCAGATACATAACTCGATGCCATAAGTAACATTGCGCCAGGAGCGCTGCTGCTGCATTGGCTGAAGTACATTGCGGCGTCGCTTCGCGAAATAAGCGGATAAATAATGAAGCGTGCATGTCCCTTTCTCTGGTGTGCCTATAGGTTGGCTTTTTAGATATGAATAGGAGCAGACCAATTTCAAATCCACGCATACTGGCGAAAACCAGCAACGTTCAGCGCCTTGCCAGTCGCAAGCTAATCTCTTCAACATATTCATTAGAACAAACAAACAATAACAATGCAACAAAGGATGACATGGCAATGACCCACATATGGACAACAACTGCTTTGTATTAGGTTGTCCCATAAATCTTTTCATTTTTTAAAATTCGCTGTAATAAACATACATGTCTTGTAAGTAGACATCAGGACACCAGTCGATAGAGCAAAACAAGCTCTATAAAAAGGCGTTTATGCTTTTGCCCCGTCTTCAATCCCCCTCAAGTTTAAAACCAAAATCTAAAATGTTACAATGCCCAGAAAATTGAAATTTTTTCATCTCTGTTCAAAAAGTCCTAGATCTTTTACTCGCTTGCACAAATATACTCCACATCAAACATTCATATGTGCCGTTGCTGTATTTTTTAACTGTTAGACAAGAAAACGAAAATTTTCATATTTTTAGCCTTCACAAGTATAATCGTATAGTCTTAGCTTTCTACAAGCTCTAATCCGCGAAAAATGTTGACTTAAGCAAGAAAAACCCAAATGAAGAAAGCTAAATGATATATCTCGGGAGTTAAAGCTTATACAGAGCTAAAAATTTACGGATATATCTCTAAGGGCTTGCAGAATAGAGCTGTTGGTGTAAGAACAGCACAGCACCCTTTAGTAAAAAAAAATATGGAGATTTTCGTCTTCTTGATTTCTAGCTAATAAAAAAATGCAGCAACGAATATATGAGTGTCAGATGTGGAGCATATATGAGCGAGTGAGAAATTGTAGGACTTTTTCAACGAAAATATAAAAAGGTTTCAATTTTCTGGGCATCCGGAACTTCTTAGATTTTGGTTCTAACTTTGGTGGACTAAAGCTGGCGCAAAAGTATAAACGCTATCTTATAGAGCTTGCTTTGTTTTATCGAAGGTATCCTGATGTCTATTTAGATTAAGTATATGATAACTACAGCGAAAAGTCGGAAATGAAAAGACTTATGGGAACAACCCAATACAGTCTAGCAGAAAAAAATTGAGGAATATGTGCACAGTAGACAAGGATTACATAAGTCTTCAGCGGCAGAAGAAACAGCGAGTGATAATGGGCAACAAAATAACAAAAGTAAATCTTCTACTCTCAAAAAAAGATTCTATATGGCAACAGCGACATCCATTTAAAAAACACAAGGATGGCATAGACATTGGCAAGATGCGCATCTCCGGTGGCCCACGAAATTACGCTAAGATATCGAACAATTTTTTTATTCAAATATTTGTGTGATGACTTGATTCTTGATTATCCGCTTGTCCAATGTATTTAAAAATGAAAGTCAGATGGAAAAGGCGAACCAACGGAAAAAAAACGAATACTAGATTAAATTTCAGTTTCAAAAAGTTTTGAATCTATTAATTTGACTCAAACATTAGATAAGTTTATTCGAGTGTTTCCTTCGCATTCTCGTAATAGTTTCAATTATTTTACGCATATTACGCACTTTTTTGCCATAAGAGATGATATGATCCGTGATCCGTCAGTGATCCGCCTTGCTTTCAAAGCGGTTTTCCACAAAATACTCTTTTTTGTTTTACCTCAAACTTCCCATCAAAACAGAAAATCTGAAGAACAAGTGCTGAAAATCTTAAATCTTAGACGTCTCTTTAATGGATCCGTATAGTTGTCCAAAAAATAACATCACCATTGAACGTGTTATATGATCGGCTCCCAGATTTGTGTGGAGGCGGTTTGCGGACTCCCCTGTTATGGATGAGCTTAATGAGAGAGTACGAAATACAATGCTATAATGTAGAGGTTTAACAAGTTTATCGTGAAAATCAGAGAAGTCCGCAGTCCATCCGCCTCTACACGAATCTGGGAGCCGATGATAGAACGTGAATTTCGCTAGAAAATCTTCCACAGAGAATGTGATCTGGTCAAAAACCCTCATCTTGGCGAATGGACCAGCAGCTGTTAGCGAAATGTCTTCTCACTTTTTTGCTACCATAAAAATCCACAAATTGCGAAAAAAAACTATTGAGCAATGTGAGATAAACAATTCAATTATAAATGGCACTTTAGCTACCTCTTCTGCGGAAAAAGCAGGCTTAAAAGTGTGTAAGGGCAATTATTGGGCCAGCGGTAGACGCGCTTAAATATTGTAAAATCTTGGTTTCACAGTCTACCATCACAAAATCAGTCACGCAATGAGAACTATACATGAGGATGATGTTTACGTTTCCTTTCCACATACGCGAATGTGACACGACCATCTCTTACTTTAACTCGAAGTCCATGTCCTCCGTCAGTGCGGAGCATATTCCCACGTAAATCACTCCACTTCTCTAATGCTTTCAAAACCGACTTCGTAGTTGGCGGCCAATCGTCATTTAAGGGCATGTGGAGGCGTAGAGGTAATATG